GCTGTTCACCCTCTGAAACACCAGAGGCCGACGACGACGTCGATGGTTTCCGATTTGACCGTGACGTTCCAGGAATGTACTTCTTAGCGTAACACATAAGGCAGCTTTCGATGATCTCTGGACTCAGATCTCGCGTTTTCAACGTTAAAATCAAGCGTTTAAACAGCGGCAAACTCAGCAATGCCAGATCTTCAAACCAGGACTCTACATTGTTCGTTCGAGCTAGACTTTTTCTTCTCAAACCAGTTTCAATTCCGTTCCATAAAGCTTGACTGGAAGCGCCTTTAGCTTCCACAATCCCGTCATTCACCGGCCAGCCAAACAGAGTCGGATCTGTAGAAGAAGCTCTCGTAGCGATTGACTCAATCAATCTCTGAACAATGCCTAAAGATTCCGCTAAAGACAGCACGGATTCGCATGATTTTAACGCTTTGACCGATTCCTTAAGGCTTTTAAAGACGGATTGAGAAAGGAACCGTTCGGTTTTTGAAATAAGGTTATCTTCGGAGTACTCTTCCGTCATTTCAAGAAACTCGGCGGCGCAACGGAGAGGAACGACAGTGGAGGAGGAGAGATCGATTTTAACGCCGTAACAGAATTTGGCGGCGCCTTCAAAAGTTTCCGAACCACCAGGGAAATCCGGGAGAGATATCTGGTATTGATCTTCTTCTTCTTCATTTTCCTGTTTTTCTTGATACTCTTCTTCATCTTCTTCTTCGATTTCGGTTTTGGTTTCACGTTGCCTTTGTTTGGTAACTGTTGTAGTGGATGATTTCCGACCTTGCTCCGCTATTAACTGATCAAGCTTTCGGCTTTTGGACATCAAAGGGAACTGAAACCGAAACCGTTAAAAAACCATCAATTAAAACGAACAAATGTTTGGTCAGTAGAAAAGCCATGGAAGTTGGAATTTAAAGCTTAGCTAACCTTATGGAGATGAAAAGTCATGTCATCAACTTCAATCATAATGTCACTTGGTAATCCAGTGGCACAAAACCTGTAAATTAAAAACAAGAAGGAAAAATGTTAAACTTTCCTCTCTTTTTTCTGTAACCCTTTTGAGGGATGAGAAATGAAGAGGTCTAACCATGCTTGGGCTTTAGAGCTAGGTTTGTCAGCTGCCATATTTTCTTTGTTGAAGTCTGAAACTCTTGGGTTTTTTGAGAAACTGTTGTGAACCAAAGGAGGAAAAACTAAAGCAGATCCATTCAGGGTTCTTGTTCTTTCAAGTTTTAAGCTTACAGAAGAGAGGAATGATGAGAACTGTTCGTGGGTTTTGTGTTGATGGGGGTCTGGTTGTGTGTGGGAAGAAAAAGCAAAGAAACAGTTGGCAATATAAAAAGGTGGAAAGAGTGGATTGGAATCCTAAAAAACTCAAACCGGGACAAACGAAGCTTGAACAAATTTCAAAAAAGGAGGAACAAAATTTTATACTATCTGAATTTTTCACCCAAAAAACTTTGCTTCTTTTTTACTTTTTTTTTCCCCTTCCCTTCCTTTGAATCACGTCAGAATCAATCTCAAGTCTCAACCACTCCAACTCTCTCTCTAAAACGTCAAAGAGTAGGGAAAAAATGGGACTGAGAAAGGTTAGCTTTTGGAAGAAAGCAGTAATTAAAATTGTGTCAAAATGGTCTCAAAAAAAAATTGTGTAAAAACAATTATTACACACTAAATCCTGCTTTTCTATAGCACCATGGCTAAGAGACAATAAGATGACATAAGTTTGATTAAGTTGTTATTGGATTTTAATTGCTTTTTCTTATGTGGAGGCTAGAATATCTTAATCAATTTGGTACAAGATTAACACAGAATCAAAATCCCATAAGCATGAGGACAACACCTTGGCTTGTCCATAGGCTTACACAATTGAAAAGGAAATTGATATTCCTTCTCAAATTTTCATTGGGAGGGGGGTGGGGTGGTGAAGAAAGCAATTGAAATTTCTTGGATGTCCAATTCTACAGAATGAGATGAGCTGTTATTAAATAAGTCACGTGGAAATAAATGACACCATTGGCCACATTAGCTCATGACCACATAAAGAGATGCCCACAGTTTGAAATGTTGGTTTTAGTTATTGGTTTTGATTTGAAGCTTCAAACCCAATTTTTTTTTTCCTTCTTTGTTTTCCCAGTTTGAATTCTTTTTGAAAATTCATGTCTGAAAAGAAAAGTATGGAGCTGGCTTCATTTATAGCAACACATCTACCCTAGTACTCCCCTTCCTTGCTAGTATTTATGACTACATTAATGAGGTAACCACAAAAGAATGTTGCTTTGTTAATCACTACCCATGAAAATTGACAGCTATGCTGCCTATGAGATAGTACAAAATTTCCCATTGATTATGTTGTAAACAATGTTCATCAACAATGGGAAAGATGGGAGATAGAGAGACAAGGGACGGGAAGGGATTTGGATTAGAGATGGATTATGACTCACTTGATTCTTCTTTTGAAGGGTGTTGCTGTTCTTGATTGTTTCAATGATGATGGTATAAAAATTGAGTCTTATTCATTAAATTAAACTAATAATACAATGATCAAACAATTAGGCTAAAGTCAGTGATAGTGGTGGTGGTGATGATGATGTCAAAAACAATGGCTGTAGAAAAGGAAATATGAACCCTGGCTGTTCAAAGCTGAATCTTCTGATAATAATTGCCTTTGAATGAGTATTGGAAGATGCAGAAATCATTGAAGAAGCAGACTGATGGAGCACTTTTATTTTCTGCATTCCACGTTGTTTAGTGAGTAATCATAGACAAAATCACAAAGGAGGATTGGGGTAGAGCTCATTGGGCACACCTCATTGTGGGTATATATGAGACTGGCTCTCTGAACCAAAGACAATAAAAAGCCGAACTATAAAAGCGCAAAAAAAATTTACAAGGTCAGACGTTTGAACTTTTGCTTTGCTTTTGCTTTTGGTTTTATGAAATCAAATATTTAGATTGTGGTCACATTTGTTTATTTGAGGGACAGATGCCCCCACTACAGAGAAATCCAATGCCGGCCTTAATCATCATATAATCTCTAAGAGTTTCAAATCTCTCTCAAGTTCCTTTCCCTCCCTCTCCTCTTCTCTTTCTCTCTCTCTCTCTCTCCATGCTAGTGCTGCTGCTTGGAAGTTGGAACTGGTCAGAAAATTTAACAGACTGGGGTTTAGAAAACAAGAGAGAAGTACAAAACCATGACAGAACCATCCAAAAGAAAAACAAACCCCATGGAGACTAGTGGGGTGGTGGGTTTAAGGGGGTAAATATTTTCTGGCACCCTGCACAAGATAGTAGCACTTTGATTTTTAATTCATTAATCCATACACCCTGGAAAGACAGAATGGTCAATGAGACATTAACCAGATTACATTATTTATAACATAAATCACTCTAAAAATTAAACGTTAACTCTCCCTTTCTCTCTTTGCTTTATTTATTCATATTGCTCTATCAGTACTCTTTAAGGCAGCACCCCCTGACAGGCATCGAAGACTATATGAAGATTGCTGGTTGCCTGCAAAAGAAAACTCAAGTAATTATTCAAAGAGATTAATATCTAACTAGAATATGATGCCACTCATTAGTCGACAAGATTGAGCTAGGCTTTGTTGGTTTGTTGTCCTCTGCTTTGCATCTTTTCCAGGTGCAATTTTTCAACCACTCTTTTTACCACTTTAGTCTTTTTGCTTGTTTGAACAGCTAACCTTTAAATGCCATGCACTGAATAAATGACAGTGTACCCATTTCCCCAACAAGTTGTTGTGTGCATAATTAGGTGATGGAAGTAGTACAACCTCATAACCTACGAGCGAAAAGCAAACCCAAAGCTAATATACCCGAAGGTGGAGTTCCGGTTGCGGGTGGTTGATTGCTGTTTGCTGCTACATTGTTTGCCGATGGAATGACAACGCCAGGCCATGGGTGGCACATGCAGCGTTTTCCCTCATCTATGCTGGCGTAGAGGGTGGCTAGGTGCTTGCCACAACCACCCCAGGAGTATTTCCCACATTGCTTGCAATCCACCCTGTAACACATTCTTTGCTTTTGTTTTTTTTTTTTTTGAGGAATTCTTTTATATGAAGATTTACAAATGTGGTATTGATGTTGCCTCCCATCTCTTTATCCTTTTCTAGTTTTTATAGTGAAAACTATTGCTTTGATGCAATCGACCCCGTTTTCATAACATTGTTGCTTAATTATCTAAATAGCAGCTTTAATGTTGAACGTATCGCTTTTGCTTAGTAAAACTCTCGTCGATCCTGACTCATCCTCTCCCCCTTTTTCTATTGGCTGCATTATTACAAGACTGCCGAATTGTGGCTGGTTTACTTTTATTGGCATCCTGGCAGCAAAGTTGCCCATGCCAGAGGGGAATATTAAACGTTGCTCTTTTTCTTGGGTTATCAAATCAAATGTAAACAGGCCGCCAAGGAAAACAAAGAGAAAGTATAATGGAAACAAATACATATTAATTTTACAGATGGATCATGGGAAATAGTCGTGACACTTAATTGTAGCCACAAGTTTAATTATAGCAGAAAGACATTGCACACCATTATTCACAACAAATAAGACAATATATTTGGTTTTGGGAATGATTTGTAGATCAATCCTGATTCGGAGCAGCATTACATTATCGTGCCTTGTGTACTTTTTGTCCTTACTATCTCGATAACAAATATGTACGAAATTAGTTAGCCATTAAAACAGAGATTAATATTTTTTGTTTTTCAAGTCAAGGCGGCTTAACTTCTCCATGAATGTCCCATAAATTCTAAGTATTTATCTCTATGATTTGATACGATCCAGAGAACAACAGCATTGCGGCACTAGGTTTCCATGACTGAATCAGAAAATAATTATATTAAATATAAATCTAAATTACACCCGAACATTTAATTCATTATTTATATATTCTCTCTCCATCTAAAAAACAAGATTCGAATTCTCCATCTCCCAATTATTAAAAAAAATAAAAATCTGAATTTCAAGAAGAGATCCCCATTACAAACTGCAGAAAACTGATCTACAAAAGAGTTTGGTGAAAATAGTGGCTCCAGGATTGATACATGTTAAAATTGGGTCCTTTATTCTAATTGCTAACAAGGGATATTTTAATGAATGGAAATGCTTGGCACCGAGAAAATTTTCACCAATAGCAGGTGTTGTTCTTCAGAAGCATATGACAGCAGAATACATCAGTTATGAGAACAGGAAACTGGTACATAAACCTTAGCTTACTATTACAGATGGCAGTTATAAGCAGAACTAGTTTAGCAGCTTGGCAAGAATTCATAACATCAAGCATTAATCTGGTACGGTTCAACAGCATAGCATAAACCAATGACTACTAATTAGTATTAGGAATTACTAAGCATGCATTGCCAAAATCTAGGACCACAAACATCAGGAGGCACTGCTGCCATCTCCATTGTCAGATGATGGCTCGATTGCAGGTTTCTTTGCTGAGCTTGATTCTACCGAGCCTGTACTCATCAAAACTCGCTTCACTCCTCTTCCTATAACTCCAAGGTGCGTGACCCCTGCAGTCCCATTTGAGTGAGCAGTGGATACAGTTGGAGAATCAAAATTTCCATTGCTGTTAGCAGTAGCAATCCGTGAAGAGCTCACTGTGGTGGGTGCAGCACTCTTCTCACCATCCCTTCCCCTGGCAGATACCATTCCCAGGAGTTCAGCAATAATTGACTTCGGGTTGGAGGCCAGCTGCTGCAGATCTTCAAGCTGCAAATGCAGAAATGCACCAAATAATTAAGCAAGTTATACAATAAGGTGTCAGTTCACATAGATAATCGAATTGCACTTGCCTTCTTTTCCAGGTCTTCAGCAAGTCCAGCAAGTGTTGCAATTTCTGCTTCTTTATCTGCAATAGATTTAACAGTCTGAGAGCCATTGGAGGACTGTTCTACACCATCATCTAATTCAGAGGCAGCTGAAGACGATGCTGATCCTGCAGAACTCTTTACTTCATTTGTTAGACGCTCCAGCCGAGACCTGCAAACTGAGATGGCCTTCTGACAGTACGGAATTGCTTCTTGGGGCTTTGAGCCAATTTCCAAACACATACATATTCGAAAATTTCTGAATTATATGGTTAAGTTGCAAATATAGAATCTGATTGAAATTGAAGGGTGGAATCAAGGGGATCCATATTTCATTTTTGACTAGTATGCATTCATCGACCAACATGCAACACTATTTAATTGAACCTGGGATTTATTATCTACATAGAGAGTAATAATCTTAATAATAAAGACACTTCAACCTTATCAAGGATACAGTTCAGCAATTTGGCGGTGATCTGGTTCAACCAGCTGTTGCAAAATGGAAAGGGCTTTCTGGTAGTCACTGAGTGAAGATTCAATGTCCTCTAAAGAAGCAGAAAAGAAACAAATTGATGTTTTAGGATGCTTCAAGAAAAGCTACTGTAAAAATTAGTGAAGGCGGTTCTTCCCTCCCCCAACCACCCCAAAAAAGCACATTCATAACAGAAATACTAAGAAATCTTAACTAACAATAAGGAGCAAGATCGACCTCGTTCCAAGGCAACCTCAGCCAATGCTGATAAAATATCCACTTTCTCCATGGTGTCACCCAACTGTTGTTTTTCAGCAATTGCCCTGGCAACATCTAGCATTTTCCATGCCAAATCCAGGTCAGAATCATCCTCATCTGCTCCAGCCACATCATCAGTGTCGCTATCCTCATCTTCCTCTTCCTCATCTCTTCCACCTGAAACACATAATGGAATAAATTAATTAAGCGTAAAGAGCAGTTAACATTTTAGTCTATGGGCAGCATATCCAATGACGATTATAACATTGGTGGTACAGCAGCTACTCTCTACAATTGACGATAATGCGAATGAAAAGTTCAGAGGAGTATAAGATGGCTTCAGTACCATCTGTAAGCAAAAGCACTAATATCACGACATCCAAAAATATTCAAACTAAATTTAGGTATCTAAGCTCAATTCGAATGAGAATTAAAATAACGCTTTATGAACAAGTAACCAAGATGTATAAACTCTATAATAAGTAAACAGAGACAAATTCAAAAATATACTAACCATCTTCGGTAGCTCCCTCCTGCTGAGTTGAACTCTCGTCCTGTTTGGCATCACTTGATACGGAAGCAACTGAAGATTCACCATTTACAGCACTTTTAACAGACTCTTCTTTGTTCGAGCCTTGCTGAGTCTCACCCTCCTTCTTTGGCACAGAAACCAAGGGATCAGTCTCCTCTTGAGCCTTGTACAGCAGTGCACGTCCATACAGATAGTAAGCCTTCAGACATTCAACGGCAAGTTCACCATGAAGGGCAACCCTAGCGTGACATAAACAAGAAGTTTAAGAATACAGACACAATCCCGAAACTTGAAAAGCAAATGAAGCTACGAATGGAAAATCTCTAAACCTCCATTTGGTTTACTTCCTCAAAAGTCGTTCATCCAACACAAAATTAATTGTGAGAATTCATTTCCATTTCCTCATACAGAAAAAAAAATGGAAAATACTTCAAAAAGGAAAACGAACGGTGAGATGGAGCCCGAGGGTTAACCTGATTTCAAGGGCGCGGCTAAAGCAATCAGCAGCTTCGGCGAAATCGTTTTCTTTAAAAGCCTTAGATCCTTTCTCCGCCAACTCATCTGCTAACTCCAGCGTCTTCTCTCGATCAACATCCGACGCAAGTCCAAGAATTTCAGCATTATCGTTATTGTTGCATGTCGACTCGGTGCCTCCTTGAACCGCAGACTCAATTGTGGCTTCGATTGAACCTTGCGTTTCTAGGGTTTCCCCAATTTTCAGGTCTGGAGTTTGCTCCGTCATTGTCACCGACGCCTCTGATGCCGCCGGCGCCGTAACTTCTTCTTCAGCCATCACTATTTTGCTTCAATTCTTGACCCAAAATGCAAAATAAAAGAAAGGAAAATGGACAAGGGGGTTTTGGGGGTTTCTCCTTGGGCTTCCCTTCAAAAACCCTTTCTGGCGGAAAATAACATAAATTTTTTTAGATTTTAAAGCGGAAAAGACAGAAATGGAAACGAGGGTCTTTCGAGGAGATAAAGCTATGAAGGGTATTTTCGTATTTAGGAGAGGAGAAAACTATCTGTTTAATATATCAGGGTCACAGGATCATGATTTCGAAACATCAGGCTGTGAAGCGAGCAAAGGAATATGGCTTCCACAATTTCGCCACCTGTACTCCAATCCCTCTCAGTCCGCTGTGCGCACAATGCGCACCCTGGACGGTACGTCAAGCCGCAGTTTAGTAAACCTGCGCTGACGGTTTCTCTCCCGAATCGGAGACAGCTTCTGTTCTTTCTGACGGCAACGACGGCATTGACGGTTAGAGACCCGGCGTCGAATGCGGAGGATATTCCGTTATTCGGTTTAAGGAAGAAGTTGAAGAGCGCGGAGGAGGAAGCGGTGCAGATAGTGAAGGAAGGGTTCGAGACGGCGGAGAAAGGGCTGGAGACGGCGGAGAAAGGAATCATTACGGTGGAGAAAGGATTGAAGACCGCGGAGAAGAAGATCGAAACAGCAGAAAAGGAGATCGAGAGTGCCGTTAGTTTTGGCGCGTTGGCTCAGGCGGGTGCCGTGGCGGGAGCCGAGTTTCTCGGCGTTGTGGTGGCTACTTCTATTGTGAATGGAATTTTAGGGCCCGAGGCCCAAAAATCTTGATTGTCCTTTTGTATCTTAAATTTGGTCATTTATGTTGTTAATTAAAGTTGTTACCACTATTTTATTCTTGTTTTAATTATAATATTATTTTAAAACTATTTTCAAATACAAATTAAAAATCCCATAATCCAATTAACCCGAATTAATCAAAGTTAGTTTTTATTTTCGTTTTCAAATTTAATTAGAATAACATTAAAAATTCAACTAAGAACCTAAATTCAGATAATTCGATTTTAAACACTTTTGAACTTCAGAATTGATGTATAAAGTAAGAAGTAATGGCTTTACTAATTGCTATTAATTAAACACTTGTCAAGAGGCAAGTAAGCAAAAGGGAAAGGGATGCTGTGAGATCTCATTCTCGCTGGGATGCATTGCCCAACAAGCTGTTTGTTGAAGGTGAGCTTTGTTCACTTAACCAATGATCTTGGACTGAAACAGGGGAGCTGCTTTTGACTTCATCTAAGGAAACCAGACAATCTCCTCCCCTTTGCTTCACAATCAATCTCCGGCTTCCCACCACTGACTTCTTGTTTGTCTTGGTACTTAGGGATCTCTCATTTTCATCCTCGGAGGACGGACAAGAGGAAGCCGTTGGTGATTCGATGCACATGCCGGGTACCCAAGCGCTGAGCCGGATGTGTTCTAGCTCTTCCGCAACCTCGGTCATGGTAGGCCTCATGTCCCGATGGAAAGCAAGGCATCTAAATGCTAGCTCGGCCACATTATGAATTGATGAAAGCGTCCAAGCATCCCTGTGTGGTTCAAGGTATGGATCGAGTATCTCATCGACGCAGCCTCGTCCTATCCTATCATTAGCAAGTGCAGCCAGGTTTACCTCACTATGAGGACGTGAGAAGTCAACCACTTTCAATGCAGTTATTATCTCCACAAGAACGACCCCGAAACTGTAGACATCACTTTTATCTGACAGATGGAAGTACTGATGGTATTGAGGATCAAGATAGCCTGGTGTTCCTTGAGGAGCAGTTGAGATGTGGGATGATTCAGACATCCCAAGCCTGGAAAGACCAAAATCAGCTACCTTGGATCTATAGCTGAAATCCAAGAGTATATTGCTAGACTTTATATCTCGATGAAAAATAGGTGGATTCACTGAGTGAAGATAGGCAATAGCCTTGGCAGTTTCAGCAGCGATTGTGAGCCTTACTGTCCATGGAAGTCCTTCACCCCTCTCTCTTTGTAGATGCTGGGATAAAGTTCCATTAGGCATAAATTCATAGACCAGGATGGGCTCACCCTCCTCTATGCAGCAGCCTAAGAGGCGGACAAGATTCGGGTGACTGACAGAGGAAAGGAGCTTAATCTCATTCATTACTTGGTCAATACTGTCAGGGTCTCTATATCTGAATCTTTTTATGGCAACCCAATCATCATTGTGGAGTTTTCCTGCATAAACTGTACCATAGGCTCCAGTCCCCAGCCTTTGTTTATCAGAGAAGCTATTAGTAGCTCTTTCAATTTCTTTATAGGCATAAAAAGGAACACTTGAGTTGCCCGCAGCTTCACATAGAAGGCGCTTTGCACTCATCTGTTTGTTGAAGGAACTAGAACTACGCTGTCGCACATAGCAACATAAAAGAGCCACACCACCCATTAACAAAGCTCCAGCAATAAGCCCTAAGAACACAACATGGTTCATCAGTTATGTGAAGGAGACAATACAGAGTGCTATAAGAAGAATTATGAACCCTGTCTTGATGAAGAGAATACTCTAATACAAGTATTGTATTTTGTAGTCTGATTACCTCCAACCAAGACACCAACTCTTGTAGTTCCCCCGCATTTTCCAGATATGTATTTTGAAGGATTGCAGTGAGGAACTGATAAATGCAGCATTCAGAAAAGTAGGGGAAAAGAGGAATTAGTGAATTTATTCAATTACTACACAATCTACATGATATATTCAATATCATCACAAGAAAAGACAATGCATTTAAGACATATTTCACATGCTAGCATAAACTGTTCCTATCAGAATCAGCACGGAGATGATTAATTCCAGCCACGTTCCTAAACCACTTATCTCTAGATTTTCCAAGGTATGGATATAACATCCCAACATTACAACATTTTTAGTGCATTCCACTTTTATGCAATGCCTTAACTTTCCACAGGTGAGAAAAGTCAGGTATCAGACAAAGACGTAACTCCATTTGTTTTGCCAGGTCAACAATGCATTTCTTTGTTGACATAAACCATTCAAACTTCATTCATGCTTCTTTAAAAAGGGCGGATTATGAGGAAAATTAACAAAAAAACAAGCATGAAGGTGAACAATCAGTTCCGGTAGATGACTCAAGCTGCTAATGTTAACCAGTTCTGTTGAAATTTGTAAATGGTAGAGAATCTGTCACGGTGTTTCTAGAGTATAGAACTCAGAAATGAATGTTTAAAGTTTGTCAACCAAGAACGAAACTTTGCATTGCCAGATACATACATTGTTGAAACTGCACTGCCTAAGTCAAAACCTAAAAAGATCAGATGTGCTTAACTTTTAAAACAGAACGAACAAGTTTACCTGCTACTGAGGCTAGATTCATGGCAAACATTGTTCATTAACTACAAATCATAGAATTTGTAACTTTGACCAGAAGAAACTCCTACTTTTGATGGAATTCAACCACAAAATAAGGAACGCACAAACTCTATAACTTCACAACGAAATCCCTTCCCCAGTTTGAATATGCAACTGACATGTAGAAACTCTCCATGTTGATTCAGATAGTACTAAAATCTTCTAGCTTCATTGCAGATTGAACTGTTGAAACTACCATTTCTAAATACTAGTCAATAATCCCATAATCTAAATTTAGAGTCAAACAAACAAAAAAGCAAATAATTAAAACCAGTCATAAAAATGAGGCGTCACCCTTTCATTGGAAAAAGGGAAAAAAACACCCCACAAACGTCTATATTCCCACTTCCCCATGTCAAAGGTCACCCATACCATCCACCAAAAAGACCAAAGGCCAAGCCTAAACCTAAAAATGATACACAAAACAAAGAAACAAACAAAATTATTAATCCGAAAGAATTGACTCACCTCTCCGGCAACCACCGCCTTCTTTGAACCCAACACCTTCAAACCCATTATGGCAAAGGCATGTGAACCCCAACGTTCTGTTACCTTTCTTAACATTTGTACAACTAGCGTTTCCATCACAGTTACACTCCCCTTCAACCCACCATGCCAATTTAACTCGTTCAAACTCCAAAGAAACCACTGAGTTCCTAGCCGAGTCAACCACGATCGAAGTCGACGAGAACAAGAAACGGCACTGCGTATTACTAACTTCCTCGAAATTCAACACCTGCTCACCATCGCCGCCAGCAAAACAAGTGATATTATCACTCTCATCAATGCAAGAGTTAGGTTTAAATGATCTTTCTAAAAACTTCGGCCTTATTTCACAAGGAGCTGGTAACCGCTTCGTACAGTTTTGGAGCAGAAGATTATTTGCGGCAGAGAGCGCGTAGTTTTACTGAACAGAGCTGAGTAAGGCCAGCGGTCGTTCGCATTCGACGGGAAGTTTGATGATGATATCCGTAGAAGTCACATTCAGGACAAGGAATTTTCCAATCCAGACCCCGTCTGCGCTGCAGTTGAGTTGGATGGGGCAACCCGGCGAGAACCCGAATGGAAACGGTAAGGTTGTTGAGAAATTGCCTTTTATGCAGGAGCCTTTGCATCGGTTCTTCTCTGAGTTAACTGATTTTGCTTGGGAGATGACCAAAAGAATTGCTATTGTTGTTGAGAAGGATAGCTTTGCTTGGCACAATATCATTTTGGATTCTCCAAGAAGAAAACAGAGCAAACATCAGCTTCCTGAAAAGAACATAAAAAACGGAGCTTGATTAGGAGAGAACAGAGGAAAGTAATACTCGGTTCTTGAAGGGTTATAGTATTGAAAGGAGAGGAAATTTGGGAAGAGGGGCAGTAATTGAGGGGAGTTAAAGCAGGGCAATTGATGCCGTTGGGGAGGCCATCTAATCCCAATAAATGCTAATACAAAGAAAGGTCAGTGCATGGTAAATTCGGGAAATTCAAAATTTTTCTTCGTGTGTTGATAAAAAAGGAAAATTTGAATGAATGGGTTGGTTTAGTTGGGAATATTTATGAGCTTACCTCTGATCTTTTCCAGTTCTTCTTCAATGGCTGCAATTGACTCTGCTCTTTCTAAAGCACTGAACTTCAAATCAAAAACTGCTAACGATTTCTTTTGAAGTTCCTTGATTTGGGCTTGGTTTTTCTTTCAAATCAAACAAAAAAATGAAAAAAAAAAAAGGCAGGAAACCAAAAAAAACAAAAACTGAGGCTCTGGAGAAGAGGTAATGAGAAATGAGAGATAGTTTGTATACAGGGTCGTTAAACTCCATGGCAAGTGGAATTTTAGTATTTTATTAATGAAATGACCGGTCTACCCTCTAAGTTCGGGAACATGGAGTTAGTGATTAGACGGAATTGTCCTCCGAAAGAGCATTAATTTACGGAGATGGACCCAGGAATAATGTTGTGGTCAGCACGCAATTAAAAGGGCATTTGACTTGGAAGAAAAGAAAAGAGCGAGAGAGAGCGTTCGTAAAAGGTGGGAATGGACGGCATCTGATCATCGACCAATGTTTGATTAGAGATATGATTATGGTGGTGATGGGGTCCCACAAATATTCCATTTGTTTCTTTTAAATTTTGGGTTTAGGATTAGCATATTATTGACTAATTATTGCATATTTTAAGATATTTACTCTGCCCTTTCTTGCTGTTCTTTTGGCTTGGTGGGTAGATAAAGGCTGCATAACAATGATACGCCAATAGTGGAATCAGCAGTATTCTTTCAGAGAAAAGAGGAGGATTTGTCTAGTTTAGAAATAATCAAAGGTTTAAAAGTCAACAAGACCAAGTGATCAAACATTGAGGGCCATTTGATTTGTTGACATTTTCTTATATATGGTAAGATGAGATAAGGAAAACAAAGCACTAAATTGAAGTGTAAGCCATGTGGTTGTTGGGTTTTTGCATATGCTATGTGTAATGTAAAACTATGGGATTTGATA